GTAGAGGCGGGGTTTTGCCACGTCGGCCACTCTGGACTTGAACTCCTGACCTCAGGTGATCCACACGCCTTGGCCTCCCAAAGTGCTGGGATGACAGGTGTGAACCACCATGCCTGGCCATTCCATCAAATATTTATTCAGCAATAAATACATATTGGGCTCTGTGTGCACAACCAGTGGTGTGAGATGCCATTTGACACATCCAAGTGGAGGCAGCCAGTGGAACCCCAACTCCTGCCTGGGATCTAGGAAGCCCCCATGCTATCACTCTCACTCTGTGCAGTGACACCAGCCCCCTCACTGCTCCCCCCACCCACAACACACTGAGCTTATTCCCTTCCTTCCCTCCTGGAACAGCCTCCCTCAATATGAGAGCCACCCAAACAGAGACAGCATTTAAAGCCATAGGAGGAAGGTCACTCCTTCAAGAGAAGCAGTGTTATTCCAAAAGGAGGCAGGGTGATGCTAGATAGCAAAACCCCACAAAATGTTCATGACAGGGTTCCAGGAGGGGCCCATAATTTCACAATAGGCTGAGAACAACTCTCAGCCCTCTTGAGAGCCCCTGTATGAGTGCTCCTATACTCATGCATATATGATACTGTGGTTTTTGAGACCTGGGCATACTCAATGCATTTTACATTGCAGCCCAATACCAGCAGGGCTTACAGGCGTGAGCCACCACACATATGCTGAATTTTTTTTTTTTTTTTTTTTTTTTTTTTTTGAGGTAGAGCTTCGCTGTTGTTGCCCGGGCTGGCGTGCAGTGGCACAATTTCAGCTCACTGCAACCTCCGCCTCCCAGGTTCAAGTGATTCTCCTGTCTCGGCCTCCTGAATAACTGGGATTACAGGCACCTGCCAGTACACCCGGCTAACTTTTGGTATTTTTAGTAGAGATGAGGTTTCACCATGTTGGCCAGGCTGGTCTCGAACTCCTGACTTCAAGTGATCCACCTGCCTTGGACTCCCAAGGTGCTGGGATTACAGGCGTGAGCCACTGTGCCTGGCTCTTTGAAATGAAAATTTTGCAAAGCTATATTTATCTTTATTACATCCTCTCTCCTGATGTTTTAATTAGAGTTTTATCCTGGTTCATTAGAAAGAAAAAATGGCCAAGTGTGGTGACTCACGCCAATAATCACAGCACTTTGGGAGGCTGAAGTGAGTGGATCACCTGAGGCAAGGAGTTTGAGACCAACCTGGCCAATGTAGCAAAACCCCGTCTCTATTAAAAATACGAAAATTGGCCGGGCGCGGTGGCTCAAGCCTGTAATCCCAGCACTTTGGGAGGCCGAGGCGGGTGGATCACGAGGTCAAGAGATCGAGACCATCCTGGTCAACATGGTGAAACCCCGTCTCTACTAAAAATACAAAATATTAGCTGGGCATGGTGGCGCGTGCCTGTAATCCCAGCTACTCAGGAGGCTGAGGCAGGAGAATTGCCTGAACCCAGGAGGCGGAGGTTGCGGTGAGCCGAGATCGTGCCATTGCACTCCAGCCTGGGTAACAAGAGTCAAACTCTGTCTCAAAAAAAAAAAAAAAAAAAAAGAAAAACTACGAAAATTAACCAGGCATGGTGAGGCACGCCTGTAATCCCAGCTACTCAGGAGCCTGAGGGGGAGAATCGCTTAAACCCAGGATTGCAATTAGTTGAGATTAATTTAAGAGATTGCAGTGAGCTGAGATTGTGCCACTGTACTCCAGCCTGGGCGACACAGCAAGACTGTCTCAAACAAACAAAGCAAACTACACACACACACAAACCAACCAACCAGGAATAAGCTACCAGCTTGATCTCCGTGTGGCTCCTGTGTGCCTCTTCTCCATCCCACAGCCGCAACTCTGCTCCTCTCACTTGTGTGATTTTAACAAGCACCTAATTGAGCTCCCTGCTCCTGTTTCTTCCTGTGTAATCCACCCTACCCGAATACATCTTCCAAAAGCCCAGCTTTGATTACATCGAAAACCCAGTTTCTTTGAAATTCCTCATCCCTCCTCCGGATATTTTTTCTCCTCCATGGCACAGCACCTACCTTCCCAGGATCACCATGAAGGACGCCTTCTCCCGGAAGCCCTCTTCACTCCCTCACGCCCTCAGTGTTTGCTGAGCATGCGCTGTGATGGATTTGGGAAATCCATTTGAACAAGGCAAATGATAGCTATTCACTCGCAGGGCTTACGGGAAAGATAGATTTGCAAACAATTACTATAAAGTATGGTAGGGGAATCTGGGTCTAAGTGACCCTAATCTCTCCAGGGAGCATCCAGGAAGGCTTCCCTGAAGAAGCGCTAATTAAGATGAATGCCAAAGGGGAAGGTGTCTCCCAGGCAGTACTGGGAGATGTCTCTGGCAGTGTCCAGAGACATGTTTGCTTATTAGGATTGGGCTGGAGTGCTCTTGGCATGGAGTGGGTGGATGCCAGGGACACTGCTCAGCACCCTGCAGTGCCCAGGACGGACCCACCTCAGAGAATTATCTGACGCCCCACCGTCTGCAGTATCTGCAGTGCCAAGGAGCAGAACCAACTCTTGAAGGCTTAGTCCATTGCTTTCTGTATATTGACCTTTCTCACAACACTGTGAGGTATTTTTATTACCTCTTCCAGATGGAGAAACTGAGGAAGGTAATTGACTTGAGGGCACAGTGAATGACCGTGGAGCCGACTCACACCTGTGCAGTCTAATTCCCACCACGCTGCCTCTCCTGGGCTAGGAGGAGCTGGGGAGTAGCAAAGAGGAAGCGGAGAAGTGGTCAGAATACAGGCATTTTGAGGAGCAGGGTCAAGGGGCAGGGCAATGTGGGTGGACAGACGGTGCTCCCCACGCTGTGATGGAAACATGGGGAGGAGGTCTGGGTGGCCAGATGCTGGGCTGCTGCCTTGCTCTGCCAAAGGCCAGGCACCCATGAGCTCTGAGCAGAGGTGAAGGCAGCAGCACGTGGAGGGTATTACCATCATGGGAATGGCTGAGGTGACTGGGGGGTAGAAGGCGGAGAGGACTGGGCAGGACCCAGGTGCAGAGGGGCAGCAGTCAGAGGCGGGAGGAAAATAGAGTTGGCTTGGGGGCACTCCGGCTGGAGCATCTCCCCCTTCTTAGCACGCTGGGGCAGCTATGGTGTCTGCAGACACCTCCAATCTTACACTGGAGTTCCTGACACCAGACAGTTTGTGACGGCAGGGACATCTCTGGGGCCCCCGAACTCCTTGCTGACGTCTCTCTGGAGGTCGTGCTGTAATGGCAGCTCCATCATCTCCAGGGACCCAAGCTCCTTCTGACTCATTGCTTTCCCACCCTTATCATGAGGCGTCCACCTTGAGGTCTACCGTGGCCACTGTGCTCCAGCCATCACGTCTGCATTCCAGCCAGCAGCCTTGCTTTTCACATGTGTACAATGGGGATTACACCTACCTTAGGTCACCAAAAAGAGGAGACGGGACACAAGTGTCTATTGTGGAGCCTACTGTGATTACGGCCAGTACCTCCTAGAGGTGCTTGGTAAGACCAAGGTTCCACTTTTTTTCTGGGGTGCCTGCACCCTGGGCACCTACCCAGCGGGCCTCAGAGGCACGTGATGGCCTGAGGACCTGAAGCCCGCTCTTCTTTCCTGGGCACCATCCTGCATGCTGAGCTCACACTCCCTCCCGCCTCTCAGGCCCCAGGGGCGGGGCTTGGTTCTCCTACTCTGGGCCCTGCAGTCTGCACTGGGCCTGGCTCTTCAGGGACTGGGGACGTCGGGGAGTTGGCGCTTGCCTAATTTGGCTCAGGGGTCTCAGCTGGGGGAAGGTCTGAAATGGTGGCCCGGCAGGAGGTGAGGCGAGCGGATTCCCCGGCTGAAGTTGGCACCATCAGGACACAGTGGGGTCCTGGAGTCCCAGCCCAGGGAAGTGAGGGGCGATTCTAGTGTCGTCTGGGACAGAGAGGCCTGGGCTGGGGCAAAGGCTGAGTGTCCGGGGGGCATACGGGGCACTGGCCTGGCACTCGAGAAACAGATTTAGGGGCAGCTGACAGGGAACTGTGTTAGCCTCTGTGGGACAGCCAGGGCCCTGCCTGGTTCCCGAGCCTGTTCCTCCAAGTCCTATAGCCCCCACCAGAGTTCTCTGAGAGGGAGGAGCAGCAACAACTCGCTTCCTGGCCTCCACCCGAATCCCACCAAGTCGGGCTCCTGCGGATGGGGTCCAGGAATTGGCCATTTTTGAGCAAGCGCATGTGCTGATTCTCAGTGATTCTGACCACGTCAACCCTGAGGACAACCAGCAGGTCACATCTGAGACTGGTGCACCTGCTTCCTCTGCCACATGCAAGGGGGGCTAGCTGGTAACAAATGTAAACAGGAGGCTGGGGTGGTGGCTCACTCCTGTAATCCCAGCACTTTGGGAGGCCAAGTGGGAGGATCACTTAGGCCAAGGATTTCAAGTCCAGCCTGGGCAACATAGCAAGACCCCATCTTTTTCTTTTTTTTTTTTAAAGAATTAGCTCGATGCGGTGGTGTATACCTATAGTCCCAGAAACTTGGGGAGGTTGAAGTGGGAGGATCACCTGAGCCCAAGAGGTTGAGGCTGCAGTGAGCTCTGACAGTGCCACTGCACTCCAGCCTGGGTGATCGAATGAGACCTTGTCTCTTTAAAAAAAAAAAAAATGTCAACAGGAGACACTGACCATCCTGGACAGAACAGTTTCTGTGCCATCACTGGCTCAGGGTGGGCCTTGCTAGGAAGCGTGGGGCGCGGGCTCCTTCTGGAAGGTACAAGGACGTTCCCAGGGCGCCCACAGGCAAGGGCAGGGGTGCCTCTGTGGCTTCCCCTCTGGGTCTTGAGTGGCCCAAGCCTGGCGGGCTGGTGTCCCAGGGCAGGGGGGACAGGGGCTGGGGTGTGGATGGGGACTCTGAAAATGGGAACCCTCAGTGTGTACTGCTATGAAAAACCAGACCAGGGCCGGGAGGCACGTGGCGTCGCTGCCACCTCTGCTCTTCCTTCTGGATTGGAAAGACGGGCCAGAGCCTAAGGCAGAAACCAGCTTGTATTGGTTACCAGGAGTGAGGAAAAGCCGGGCATTACAATCCATTAACCATCGCTTCAGTGTCTCCCAGGAGAGGAGACGTCTATTTTAAAGACATTCTTTCTGTCCAATTTCACCTAAGGTTTGGACTATGACAGGGTGATGATTCTGGACTTTCCATGTCTAAAGTGAGTGCGCATTTTTCTCTTCCTGCCCTCAGCTCCGGAGGCCGGGCGATGCTCCGAGCTCCTGCCGAAGTAGGTTTTTAAAGGCCACTTGAGCGGACATTAGTACCTTCTGGTGAATGAGAACAAAATATTTGGGACTGAATATACTGCAATGTACACATCCAAAAGAAACGTTCTAATAACAATTACAGCACAAAACTATTGGTATAAACATTTTTCCAAAAAAAGAAAACTATTGCATTTTGTTAGACGGGGTGTCCTGGGCTGAGGCTCGTCTTCCTTCTTTGCAGCTGCTTTGGGGACAGAACTCCAGCACGCAGCTGGCCAGGTGCAGTGCTTACGTGTTTCCATGGAGACAAATTCGGTGTCTCAAGTTCGGGGCTTCGAAAGTCCCGAATATTTATTTGTCCCCAGAGAAGAGTTTTGACTTTGAAGAGGTCAAGGTGGGACTCACTGGGGGTTAGGGTACTCCGGGATTGATTGAGAGGGAGGTGTTCTGGAAGACTCCGTGGACCGGGACGCAGGCACTGCTGCTGGGACAGGGACACGCGGGATGGCTGCTTTCTGAAGTCATGGCTGTGACAGTGACCCTGTTGGACAAACTCCTTCCAGAGCCAGCAGCTTGATGGTGACGGTGAACTTGGACAGAACCCCAGATCCTTCCCGTTGCTGGTAAAACTGTGGTTTTGATTTTCTGAAAGACACTGCTGTGTCCTGGCACGAGTTGTCCCATTTCTGTGGCTTGTTCTTTTTTGAGCCGCAGTCTGTCTGGGGCACAGCAATTGTCAGCTGCCCCTCAAGTCCTCTGGCATCTGGAGATGGTCCCTGCAGCCTGCTAGCCTCCCGCCTCAGTGCATCAGGCAGGGCGGTCTGGCTCTGACAGGCCACAGGGCGCCGGGCCCAGGGGGTCTCTCCACATGGTGGTACCAGACAAGGGCACTCCACTTTCCATTCCTGAGGGACTCCAGGGACGCTCTGTGCCCACCCAACAGTGGCAGGTAGGAGGGGAGATGCCATCCCTTACTATTTGGGCTCTGCCAGATTAAAAAAAAAATTTAAATTATGGTGAAAATTGGTTCCAGTTGAGCGCAAGGGCCAGCGTTCTCTGCACAGCCCCTGTAGCTCTTAAAGGGACCCAGGCCAAAGTCCAGAGTTCCAGCAGAGGAGGGTTTGTCCAGAACAAGGAACCCACGGTCTGGTGTGGCCTTGGTGGCTGCACAGGGTCCTGGGGACCCAGAGCACGGCCACAGCCAGTGGGAGCCCCGGCCCGAGCTTCCGCAGCTTCAACAACTGCTTTTCTTCTGGAACCATCTCGGCCTTTAAGGGCACGCTGACCCCGGAGCCCCCACTTGAGTCAAGGTAAACATCGCATGGTCTAATAGGCACTAATTCGGTGCAGCCGGTGAAGTCCAGGTTCCCAGAGCGACTGGGTGGCATCTTCCGGAGCCCCGCGGGGCTAGATGCCCTGCAGGGAGTGGTTGGGGTCGCTGCGCTCACGCTTCACCAGGGGCTCACCCAGGCTGCGGGCGTCCGGGCCTGCCTCACTGCCGCGCTGCTCATCACCCATGTCGTCTGCGGAGGGAGGGGCAGGGTCAGTGTCTGTCATCAGGAGGGCACCGGAGAGAGAGGCAGAAGCGCACGTTCAGAGAGCTGCTCCGGCACGCCAGGCGGGGTGCTGAGGACACACGGCAGCCCGTGGACCCCGCCTTGGCCTCTGCTCCAGGCTGACCTGTCCTCCTCAACCTGCCTGGTCACCCAGAGGTGCCCCCAGGTTGGGCCAGGTGAAAGAGCCTCTGCCCTGTGCCTCTCTGCCCCAGTGCCGACCGGTCTGGGGCCTCTTGGGTCCTCCCACCACATGGGGTGGGGATGGGGCACAGGGTCTCTCTGGCCTGCCTGTCCCACTCTTCTGCTGGGCGTGCGTGCAGGAGACCAGGGGCTGCCTGGTCCGGGCCTGGTGCAGAGGTCCCTGGGCAGCAGCTACCCAGAGGCAGGGCCGCGCTCTGAGACCCAGCCAAGCCAGTCTGCAGGGACGTCTGCTGCCCAGGCATCACTCGCCATCCAGACGCCAAATCCCAGCACCCTCACCATCACCCAGGGCTGCCCGGATTTCCACCTGCTCATCATGCAATCGGCGGACAGGCCACGCCCCCCAACCACCGAGGGCTGTGGCAGGAAAGCCACCGGTGCACCCACCTTTGTCAAGCAGTGCCAGCGACAGAGAGGCAAGGTCATTGAACTGAAAGAGAAATCCGGAGTCAGGGCGCCTGCAGAGGGGTGGCAGTTGCTGTTTGGGGCTCTGGGGATGCCGGCCCAACCTTGCCTGGAGCTGCGTCCTCCATTCACAGTAAAGCAACTAGGGTCTGCCCTGAGAAGGGGCTCTGATGCTGCCAGGCGTCTAGGCAGGTCCCCTGTCCCCTGTCCAGGCTGCCTCTGGGAGCTGCTGGGGGTGGAGGGTGCTGATTGCTCAGGGCAGCGAGGGGACAAGACCTGGACCCCAAGGTAGGTCCCCTGGGTGTGGCTGCTCCAGGTTTTAAGGTGGCATGGAAGGGCTGTGGGCTGAGGTATCTGCTCCTGAAGGTCTATACACAGCATGAAAACCACTCCCTGGCTGCCCCAGAGCCCGGTGTCCATGCCAATGTGCAGAGAACAGACAACTTCCAGTTTCTGTGCACGCTGTGGGGCCCTGATCGACTCTGAAAGTGTTGTGGTAAGAGTACTGGGACCCTGCCATTCATCAAGCGTCACCGCGCTTCTTCCTCAAGGCAACCCCATGCAGCCCAGCAGGGCCACTCCGAGGTGTGGACCCCACAGAACTGAACGTAGGTGTGCACACAAAACCGCTCCTGCAAACGGCAGCACCATTCACAACAGCCAGAAAGAGGGAGCAGCGCAAGCACGCACGGAGGGATGGGCGGTCGGCACAGTGCAGCCGGCCACGCCCGGTAACACGGCTCAGCCACGAGGGGAACCAAGCTCTGACGCGGCCACCCCAGCGTGGGAACATACACTATCACTCTTTGTGTATGTGACCACGATAAAAAGAAAACCTTGGGTGGTGTGTCCAGGGCCTCCCCTGCGCAGCAGGATGCCCAAGGACAAACTCCTTCCAGAGCCAGTAGTTTGATGGTGATGGTGAACTTGGACAGAACCCAGATCCTTCCCATTGCTGATAAAACTTCTGGTTTTGATTTCTGGAATGACACTGCTGTGTCTTGGCATGAGCGGGCCCATTTCTATGTTCTTTTTTGAGCTGCTGATTGGTCTAGGTGGCAGTGCAGTGGGACCTGCGAGTGTCCTCTCTGGGCTGCTCAGAGCCCACTGCCCTCTCCCCACAGGCCCGGCCAAGCCCCCACCGTCCCACAGAGCAGGGCCCCCACCTCTCCCATCACGGCAATCGGCGTCTCCCCGGTGGCCTCGGCGACGCGGTGCTCCACCAGGTAGAACATGTATTCATCGTAGAGCAGGCGGATGAGGTGGAAGGAGCCAAAGCTGGCGGCGCTGCGCAGGGTCAGGTCCCGGATCACCATAGAGCTGGGGACAGTGGACAGAGGCTGGGGACACTCAGGGGAGCATGGAACCCGGGCCCTGGGCCAGGCTTCATGGCAGCGACATGCACCCTGCTCTGCGTTCCCTGGGGAACCCAGACCCTGAGTGAGCCTAAGATCTGCTGGCCTGTGGGGAGCCGACGGGCTGCCGAGACCCTGGGTCCAGTGTGATGGACAGGCAGGGCAGGGCTGCCCTCTCAGTTCCAGAGACCACCAGGGGACAGGAGAGGGAGACGGGCAGTCAGCCCTAAAGCGACAGGCCGCTGGAAACACAGCTGTGGCTGGTGTTGGCACAGGTACTGGAGACAGGATCTTAGCTGGTGAATCTTTCTAGTGACATTTCCAACTCCCAGTCTGAGCACAGGCTGGCAGCCGTTGCCCGTCTCCCCAGCAGGAGGCCCCTTTCCCCACCTTCCCCGTATCCTTGCCACCTCCCGTCATTCCTCGGCCTGTGGTTTCAGGCACCTAAAAACAAGATGAAAGGCCAGGGTGTTTTAGTGTCTATCACCGAGAGCCCTCAGCCTGTGAGCTGAGAATGCTTTACATTTTGAAATGGTTGGAAAAAGTCAAAAGAATAATTATATCTGGTGGCATGTGGAAACTACACGAAATTCATATTTTGATGTCCACAAACAGTTTTGCTGGCACGAGCCATGACCGTTTCTATATTGTCTTTCCTATGACGGCTGCAAATACTGTCTGATTCTTTCCAGGAGAGGTGGCCCCTACCTAAAGGATTAATATGAGACCTAAAGGGGCTGGGCACAGTGGCTCACGCCTGTAATCCCAGCACTTTGGGAGACTGAGGCGGGCGGATCACTTGAAGTCAGGAGTTCCAGACCAGCCTGGCCAACATGGTGAAAACTCATTTCTACTAAAAATACGAAAATCAGCCGGGCGTGGTGGCAGGAGCCTGTAATTCCAGTTACTCGGGAGGCTGAGGCAGGAGAATCACTTGAACCTTGGAGGAGGAGGTTGCAGTGAGCTGAGATCACCTCACTGCACTCCGGCCTGGAGGACAGAGCAAGACTCTGTCAAAAAAAAAAAAAAAAAGGATGTGGTGGGAAGTGGAATACTGTCTCAGTTCCCCATAAGACCTAAAGGACTTACATAAAATGGCACCTGATCAAAAACTTTGACCTACAAGCCAGGCAGCCCCCAATGCCCAAATGCCCCAGCTCGAAGTAAACTTTCATAAACTCTCAGTTACATCCAGTCGGTACTGCAGCAATGAAAAGAACACACAGGCTTGAGAAAAGGAAAGACAGCCGCACCATGAGGACCACCAAAGCTGTCTATACTTAGGTGTTAGGCACAGCTGTGAAGCCCCCAGCCCCCTCCGGCTCCCCAGACCCACCCAGCTTGGCTTCCAAGCCTTCTTTCCCCAAAGGCCTTCCCATGCAGATGAGAGGCTGGTGCTCTCCACTCACCCTCCCACAGCCCCAGTGTCTGGAGCGATGCTTCAGTCCAAAGTATTTCCAGAACATCGCCTGCGGTCACCTCGGTATTTCTGGGTTTCCCAACGGGCTCCCAGCTCCCAGAGGGCAGAAGCATGGGCTGACCACGGGCATCGACATCACCACACTGTCTCTTCCCTTGCTCTTCCTCCCCCGTTACCCCAGTGTAGCTTTACTGTAATTTCTGGCTACGCTGGTGTTTCTGTTATGTGGCAAGGGTGCACTAGGTCCATGGCGGAGCCCCAGTCTATCAGGCATGGGGTTCCTCTCATTCATTCACTCAGCCAGCATTTAAACAGAAGCGAGGTCCCGGCACTCAGGTAGCGTGCTTGATTATGCAGGAGACAGACAACAGACAATTGAAGAGATGACGAGGGACAGGTGACGGTCGCTGCCAGGAGAAAAGCAGGGAGTGGGGAATGGAATGTGGGAAAGAACGGGCAGTCTTATTTACAGATGTTCCAGGCAAGGGGGGGGGGCAGGTGCAAAGGCCCTGAGGCAGTGTGGCCAGGGGAGTGTGTGAGGAGACAGCTGAGAACAGGGAGATGCTGGCTGGCTCAGGAGTCAGCAAACTTGTTCTTGTTTTTTTTTTTTTTTTTTTTCAGATGGAGTTTGTCTCTAGTCGCCGAGGCTTGAGTGCAGTGGCACAATCTTGGCTCACTACAACCTCTTCCTCCCAGATTCAGGTGATTCTCCTGACTTGAACTCCTGACCTCAAGTGATCCACCAGCCTCAGCCTCCCAAAGTGTGGGGATTACAGGCGTGAGCCACTGTGCCCAGCCAGGCAAACTCATTTTCATGCCAGACAGTAAATATTCTCAGCTTTGTGCCCAACAGTCACACTGTTCTGTTTGCAATGACAGCTGTAGCTGATCTGTGAACGAATGTGTGTGGCTGAGGTTCCAATAAAACTTTATTTGCACAATGAGCTGGGGCAATGATATGGTTTGGCTTTGTGTCCCCACCCAAATCTTACCCTGATGTAACGATCCCCACGTATTGTGGGAGGGACCCAGTGGGAGGTAACTGAATCATGAGGGCAGGTATTTCCCATGCTGTACTCCTGATAGTGAATAAGTCCATGACATTGGATGGTCTTATAAAGGGGAGTTCCCTGCACACGCTCCCTTGCCTGCTGCCATGTAAGATGTGCCTTTGCTCTTCCTTGGCCTTCCACCATGATTTTGGGGCCTCCCCAGCTGTGTGGATCTGTGAGTCTATTAAACCTGCTTTTCTTTATAAATTACCCAGTCTTGAGTATGTCTGGATTAGCAGTGTGAGCTGGACTGATACAGGCGGGGATAACAATCTGGCCTGTGGCCTTAGCTCATCATGCGCGGGGTCATGTGGGGCCCCAGCCACAGAGCAGCTTTGTATTTCCTGGTAATAACCATTTTTGGTTGTTTGTTTGTTTTAATCCACACGTTTGCATGTACTCAGTGAGCCTAAAGCTCCCTGACAGGACTGCAGGAGGCATCTTGGTACCTTTCCTGGGGATGACTCCCCCGGAAGCCCTTGCTCCCTGGCCCTGGTCACACAGGGTGGGTCTGTAGCCTGGAAAGGATCTCCCTTCAGAACGCCCAGGACATGGCTCTCCTGCCTTCCAGGCTTCTGCCTCACTGCTCAGAAGTCTAATGCTGCTTCCATCCCCAGCCTGTCATTTTCTCTCTAGAATCTTTTATGGTTGCTTCTCAAGCTTGGTGTTTTGAAATTTCACCAGGGGCTTCTTTGGGGAAAGTCGGCAGCTTTTTCAGTTTGGAGACTTGTGCCCTTCAGATCTGAAATCGTTTTTTTTTCCCTTAGAGATGCGGTCTTGCTCCGTCACTCAGGCTGGAGTGCAGTGGTGCAATCTTGACTCCCTGCAGCCTGGACCGCCTGGGCTCGAGGACCCTCCCACCTCAGCCTCCCAAGTAGCTGGGACCGCAGGCACACGCCACCATGCCCAGCTAAGTTTTTTCACTTTTTGTAGAGGTCCTGCTGTCTTCCTCAGGCTGGTCTCGAACTCTGGTCTCAAGCCATCCTCCCACCTTGGCCTCCCAAAGCGGTGGGATTACAGGTTTGAGCCACCACTCAGACTCCAGTGATGATTTCTGTCTACAGAACTTGCAAGTTAGTTTTTGGGCCATGGTGGCCTTCTCGGCCTGACCCTGGAAGCTGCTGGTCAGGAGTGAGGCCCCAGCCAGGTACTTGTATTTTTGGGGTTTAGGCACTGCTACGACTCTGCTGAGCCCTGTTTTTCTCTGAGCTCACCAGCCAAGCCCTAGAAGTTTATCTCAGAGTCCTCCACCTGTCAGAATTCTCTCGGAGCTCTGGCGGGACTAACCTGTAAAAGGACCATTTCAGCAGGAACTGCCGGGCGGCCTTGGGGAAGCTGGGGCTGCCGGCATGCTGCTTCAGGACCTGGGTGACCACGCCATCCAGCCAGCTGGCCCACTGGTCCAGGGAGCTCTGCTGCTGCAGGGTCAGCTTGAAATCCTGCTCCAGCCGCTGCACCACGCTCTCCTCGCACTGGCACACCCACGAGGCCTGCTCCTGTGCAGGGCGGAGGCCAGCGTCAGCACCGCGGGCCCCCCGCCACGGCAGCCCTCCCCAGACCCAGCAGTGCTCGGGTGGGACGCTGTGCTGTGCGGGAGCCTTCTTGCCCTTGACCTTGACAGCGGCAAGCCAAGCTCTGTGTCTCCCGTCACAGGGCCAGAATAGACAGCCGGAGGGGGGACCTACCCAGCTTCTGGGGACTCATACCTGGGTCTTTCTAGATCAAAGCTCATACTATACAAGGTCTTTGTTTAGTTTTGTTTTGAAGGGGTCACTTCTAAATATGCGTGTGTGTTTATTCATGTAATAGGCAAATCCAGGGCCTGACATAAGCATAGCTGGGGATGGGCTGTGGGCCGGCACTTTGGCCGGCTCAGGGGATAGAGCCAGGAAAACGGCCAGAGGGTAGGGAGGTCAGTGTCCTGCCAGGATCCTTGAAGCCGGGAGCCTTTGTAAGGAAAATGAGCAGAGGTGTTGGCTCCAGTGCCGGGACGTCAGAGGGCCCTGAGAGGTGCTGGCGTGGAGGAGCTGGGGGGTGCGGGTGGGCTTTGGCCTGGGACCTGTGTCATGCAGCAGAACCGTGGCCAGGCTCGGGGCCAGGGGCCGGGTTTTGCTGTGGGCTCCACTTTGTGGGTTTGCTGGTTCTGCTGCAGGGTGGGAAGCCCAGGCCCTGGGGATGGCGTGGAGGAGGTCACCTGCACGTTGGCAAAGTCCACGCGGTTGAGGTCGCTGAGCATCTGGTTGATCTGGGACGTGTTCTGCAGCACCGCCCGGGCCGCCTGCGCCAGGTGGTTGAGGGACGTGTAGCGCCGCAGCGTCTGGGCAAAGGCACTGACGACGCCCACCTGTATGCCAGGGCCGTGGTGAGCAGGGATTCGCAGGGAGAGCCTGTTCCGCTGTGCTCCTTGCAGGGGTGCGTGGGCTCAGGGACAACAAGGGACGGGGGAGCAGGAAACAGAAACCGGGCAGGGAAAAGGGAACCCCCTGCTATCCTTAAGGGCCCAGTGAGTGAGAACTGGAGAATGGGGCGAAGAGACCTCGCCAGCACGTCACACACGTCAGTAACTGAAGCCCGTGGCGCTGCCGAGTTAGAATTCACAATCATGTCGCCATGCCCACTTCTAGAGTCCCTGTGGTTCTCGGGAGTGGCTGCTGAGACCACAGACTCCTGGGTGCTATGGGGTCAGACTTTAGTGGGTGTGGCCTGGGGATCTTATTTTTTGTTTAAGAGATGGGGTCTTGCTTGTCGCCCAGGCTGGTCTCAAACTCTTGGCCCCAAATGATCCTCCTGCCTTGGGCTCCCAAAGTGCTGGGATTACAGGTGTGAGCCACTACATCAGCCCTGAATCTGACTTTTTAACAATGACCTGATCAATGCTTGTACCACTGCCTAACAGATCAATTTCGAAGTGCAGGTGGGTGGAGCAGATGCCCTGCCGCTGCCTCCTCTGCTCCCAAGAGCCCTTTAAGAAATGGTCATGATGGCCAGGTGCAGTGGCTCAAGACCGTCATCCCAGCACTCTGGGAGGCTGAGGTAGGTGGATCACCTGAGGTCACGAGTTCAAGACCAGCCTGGCCAACATGGTAAAACGCTGTCTCTATTAAAAATACAAAAAATTAGCCAGGTGTGGTGGTGGGTGCCTGTAATCTCAGCTACTTGGGAGGCTGAGGCAGGAGAATCGCTTGAACCCAGGAGGCAGAGGTTGCAGTGAGCCGAGATCGTGCCATTGCACTCCAGGCTAGGTGACAGAGTGAGACTGTTTCAAAAAAAGGAAACACTTGTGAGAACGGTGGGTAATCACTCTCTTTCCCACAAGTTGGCCAAGGTTCTACATTTCACATTCTGATTTGTGGCCAAGATTATAGTAACAAGGGTCACAGCCAGGAGATTAAATTTCCCGAATAAGGTGAGTGCAGAAACACGCAGTCTGTTCTAAATTGACCCAAAGATATGGCACCTTCTGTTGTTCCCCTTCCTGCCAGCACTGATGCGTCATCGACAGTGTGCTTGGGGCTTCCTGAAGCGACCGGTTATTCTCATGACACAGGGAAGAAGCCAGTACACCCTGGGGCACAGTGGTCCTCACGCTGATGTGGAGTGGAGCCCCTCCCAGCCACAGCTGGGAAGCCCGGGCCCCACCACGGATGTACCTTGGTCTGGATGACCTGTTGTGGGAAGTCGCTCATGGCGTTTGTCAACCAGCCTTCCAAGCTCTTGGCGAAGTTACGGATGGCCTGTGTCAAGGTACCTGGGGGATACAGACATGATATTAACGGGGAGAAAGGCAGTGTCTGGACCCTGGAAAACAGCCTTCAGTGTAAGAGCTGGCCCAAGTGCAATGAAAATGAGCACTACGAAGAAGCCACACAGGAAAAGAGAGGACTAAACAGGCACAGGGCAATGGAGAACCAAGGACTCAGAGAAATGGGAGGAGCTGGCCATGGCCCCCAGCCGTCAGACACCACCCACTGCCTATCACCATGGGTCTCACGGGGCGATTCTGCCCCAGGGGACACTGGGTGATGTCTGGGGATGTTAATGGTGGGCAGGACTGTGGGATGCCTCTGGCATGGAGTGGGTGGAGGCTAGGGATGCTGTTCAGCACCCTGCAGCGTCCAGGATGGCCCCACCCCAGAGAACAGTCCAACCCCAGATATCAACAGTGCCAAGGGAGAGAGGCCTTGACATACACACACAGACACACACACACACACAGACACACGCACACACAGAGACACACAGACACACACACAGACAGACACAGACACACACACAGAAGTACACACACACAGAAGTACACACACAGACACATACACATGCACACAGAAATACATTCTACCAACTTCCTAATTTATTTTAAGATGGCTTACAATAAGAAACAAATAGTAAGACTGTTAAAAAAAGAAACAGAAAAAAGCCAGTTATGGCAGCTCACACCTGTAACCCCAGCACTTTGGGAGGCTGAGGCGGGTGGATCACCTGAGGTCAGGAGTTTGAGACCAGCCTGGTCAACATGATGAAACCCTGTCTCTACTACAGATACAAAATTATCTGGGCATGGGGGTGGGTGCCTGTAATTCCAGCTACTTGGGAGGCTGAGGCAGGAGAATCATTGGAACCCAGGATGCGAAAGTTGCAGTGGGCCAAGATTGCACCACTGCACTCCAGCCTGGGTGACAGACCAAAACCCCATCTCACAAACAAAACAAAACAAAACAAAACACAGACAAATATTTAAAAATGCAAAAGGAAAGGTACCCCATGCCCCAAACTCCCACCATAATGTCGAAACCGGAACTGGGCACTGCCCTGGACACAGGCAGGCAGGCAGGCAAGGCCAGGCCAAGGAGAAATGTAACACTTTTGCTGTTTCCCATTTTCCAGCAAAGGGAGCGTAGAATTTACTCAGCAGGATGGAGAGCTGCCTGGTACTAATGGACCTGGATGTTTGTGGATGGCCTGCGAGGCATGGCCCATGATCCCGATGCTGTGATTTATGAAGAAAGGCCTCTGTGCCCAGCTTCCTTGAAAACCCCCAGGGTTTTGGGGAGCTTGGCGCGGACCTGGCCCGCGGGCCCCCTCATGCTGGCTGCTGTCATTGCCTTGGGAGGGCAGAGGCCCTGGGAGGTCTCCCAGGGCACAGGTGAGACTAGCTTCTTTCTTCACTGTGCCCATCACCGTCTCCCCAGCCTCCCAAGTCCTGTGGGAAATCACAGGGCTGGGCGCTGGGGAGTAAATGTCTCCTGGAATCCCACAGTGCTGGGAAGTGGGGTCTGGCTGGGGTTAAAGGTCAGCCTCTACCCTAGCAGGAGCCAGGGCGAGGTCCCAGCTTATTCCTCTAAATTTATGTCCCCATCCCTCCTACAGGGCATGGCACTCAGGAAGTGTCACGGTGGGGATTAAGGGAGGCGGGAGGAAGGCAGCTGGTGGTCATCTCCAAGACAAGAGTGGATCAAGAGCCCACATGGCCCTGGGCCGAGGCCTGCCGTACAGCCACGGCTCCAGAGCTGCGAGCAGGCTACTCCCAGAGGCCGGCCTGCACGCCCCCAACGAACCTTCCAGAAAGCACCGAGCCCAGCCTGGCTGCTCTTGGCAGTATCCTGACGGCAGGTAGAGCTCACCAAAGCCACTAACCTCACCTTCCCCTCGAGTCAGAGACAAGGACAAATACGCATGCCAGAGAACACACATTCCGCAGCTCAGCGCCTCTCGTGGGGGGTTCTTTCTTTGTTTTGAGGCAGGGTCTCACTCTGTCACCCAGGCTGGAGTGCAGTGATCATAGCTCACTGCAGCCTCAACCTCCTGGGCTCAGATGATCCTGTTGCCTCAGCCTCCTGGGCCGCTGGGACTACAGGCATGCAACACCACATCCAGCTAATTTTTGTATTCCTTTTAGAAATGGGGTCTCACTGTGTTGCCCAGGCTGGTCTCAAACTTCTGGGCTCAAGTTATCCTCCTGCTCTGGCCTCCCCAGTAGCTAGGGCTATAGGCACACACCACCATGCCCAGCTAATTTTTTTTTTTGAGACGGGGTCAGGCTGAAGTGCGGTCGTGTGATCTTGACTCACTGCAACCTCTGCCTCCTGGGTTAAAGTGATTCTCCTGCCTCAGCCTCCTGAGTAGCTGGGACTTCAGGCATGTGCTACCACACCTGGCTAATTTTTTTGTATTTTTAGTAGAGACGGGCTCATGTTGGTCAAGCTGGTCTCAAACTCCTGACCTCAAATGGTCTGCTCACCTCAGCCTCCCAAAGTGCTGGAATTACAGGCATCAGCAATCCTGCCTGGCCCCAGCTAATTTTTTTTTTTTTTTTTTTTAGAGGTGGGGTCTCACTACGTTGCCCAGGCTGGTCTCAATTTCCTGGGCTCAAGCGATCTGCCTTAGCCTCCCAAAGTGCAGGGAGCACTGGAATGAGCCATTGTGACCAGCCACTTTTGGGTTTTCTGTGAAAGCGATGGTGCGAGGTGGCTGAAGATGTACAGGTGAGAAAGGACAGAGAAGGCAGGAAGAGAGCCGGAGCAGCGCCGGGCGGGGCTTCCGTTCACTTACTGGGGACTGGCCTTAGCACGTCGGGGATGAGAATCTCCACCAGTGCCTGGTAGAGGATGTGGTCGCAGCTCCTCATCCACCTGAGGATGGGGTCGCACTGACACAGGGAGATGAGCTTGTCCTTAGGCAGGACAGCACCCTCGGGGTCTTCGTCACTGTGGAGGGTACAGGGGCAGGTGAGCTGTGGCCTGGCCCGGGTGGCCTCACTCAGCCACAGGAGTGACCAGAGAGCCAGGCTGTGGGACTTGCGCCCAACAGCGGGGCTAGGGTTTTGCTCCCCATCCCTGAGCCCCTACGGGTCCCCTCCCTCCGTGTTGCTCCTGGCACCTCTGGGTCTCCCCCAGGTCCACGCTCTCCCTCCCCTGCTAGTGGCTGTGTTGTGCCTCACTGCAGCCACAGCTTGGGGTCACTTCTACTTGGGACTGCATCATGATCACCTCTAAAATCCTTCCTGTTCAAACAGTCTGATCTTGAAAAGGGGCAAATGGCCATGTGAATTTCAAGTCAACTCTACCAAGTCTAAAAATTACAGGGACAGAAGCAGACGGGTCTGAGCCCTGATTCTTGGAGAGTTGACGCTTTCATTTGTGGGTTACCTGTGGGCGTCAGCAGGGGGTTAAGTCTGGGGGGGCTGTGAACCCAGCCAGGGCGTGGCAGTCACCTGGCAGGCAGAGAGGTGGGGCCGTCGCTGGAGGAGGCCTTCGAGTTCCAGAAGGAGAGCCACAGCTTCTCGATGTAGTGGAACTGGAGGTTCATCACCACATCTAGAGTTGCCTAGGAATGGAGGGACGGGTGAGACAGACGGGGGTGTGCACCCGTCATCTGCACTCAGCACACGCCAGTGTGCAGCTGTGATTCGGGCTGCAGTGGGGTGCCCTGCAATCCCAAGGGAGGCCACAGAGAGGAGAGGAGCAGGTGATGGACGTGGATGTGAGGGGCTGCTGAGGTCCTCTCCAGAGAGGACGCTCGTGGGTGGGCTCTGGGCTTGGGGCTCCGTCTCCTCAGCATCACCTGGGGACACGGGGGACGCCTGGCCTGAGCCTGGGAGGGACCCGTAGGAGCTGCCTGCCTGGGCCTGGGGCGGTCACCTCGCAGTGCCGTCTGTACACCAGCTGTAGGGCCTTGACATCGTGCAGGGTGACGCCCTCCTGCAGCAGGACGCTGCCCAGGTCGGGCGCTGGGAACTCGGGGAAGACATGGGAGACATCTGGGGGAGGAACATGGGAACATCAGAAACAGGGCTCTTAGGAAATGCGGACAACTAGAAGGCCATGTGGTAGATCGGGGAGGGGCCCAGAAACAGATGCTCTGCCCCACCCCATGCAGTCACAGAATTTTTTTTTTTTTTTTTTTTTGAGATGGTGTCTCACTCTGTTGCCCAGACTGGAGTGCAGTGGCACAATCCTGGCTCAACGCAACATCCACCTCCTGGGTTCAAGCAATTCTCCTGCCTCAGCCTCCTTCGTAGTTGGGATTACAGGCGTGCATCACCACGCCGAGCTAATTTTGTATTTGTGTGTGTGTGAGAGGCAGGGTTTCACCATGTTAGCCAAGTTGGTCTCAAACCCCTGACCTCCAGTGATCTGCCCGCCGCGGCTTCTCGGAGTGCTGGAATTACAGGCTTGAGCCACTGCGCCTGGCACAGTCAGGGAATTTGTAAGCATCAGTTTTCTCAGGTAGAAAAGGGAGAGGATATTGTCGCCTCCCAGGAGCATTAAATATGCAGACACAGAGGATGCCCTGAGCCCAGGCCCTGGTACACAGCAGGTACCCACAGAGCCAGCTCAGGGCAGCACATCTGGGAAAGAAGGCCAGCCACAAAGTCTCCGCAGTGACCTCTTGGAGACAGGCCTGACCCCACCTCAATCTCCGCAGGAGATTCAACCCAGGAGGGTTCTGTTTGGGCTCAAAAAAGATCATAAACTACCTGGCGGCCTCTGAGTGCACAGAGCCCCCTTGAATCATGACACTGACACCAGCGAGACTTCCTGTGTTCCGCCCCCCCTGCCGGACGCCCCCTGGTGGCAGGCTCTGAGTTAGGGCCTTCCCGGGGGAAGAGATGGTGCCCCCACTAAGCCAGCTGGGGAGGAACGCTGTCCCGTGAGCAGCCCCCAGGGAGGGGCTCCTGTTGGTGAACCAGGAGCACCCCAAAAGCTCCAGGCAAAAAGGAAGAAAGCCCAGATGGCAGGCAAATCCTCGTGCACCCTGAGTGGATAATATCTAGTGTTCTTTTTTTTTTTCTTTGTTTCACTCTGTCGCCCAGGTTGAAGAGCAGTGGTGTGATCCCAGCTCACTGCAGCCTCAAACTTCTGGGCTCAAGCAATCCTCTTGCCTCAGCCTCCTGAATAGGTGGGACCACAGGGGCTTGCCACTATGCCTGGCTCATTTAAAAAATTGTTTTTTTTAAGTATGTTGCCAGGCTTGTCTTGAACTCCCAGATCAAGCCATCCTCCACCTTGGCCTCCCAAAGCACTGGGATCACGGGCACAAGCCTCCGTGCCTGTCCTCTACTATTTCTTTCTGATGCTCATTTTACTTTATTTTTTCATCTTTCTGATGGTCGCTTTATGTATTAATTTTTTTGGCATATGCTGGTTATTCTAAAGTCTCAGGGATTTCAGAAAGAAGGTTTATCTAGAACTTTCTTTTTTTTTTTCTTTTTTTTTTTTTTGAGACGAAGTTTCGCTCGTTACCCAGGCTGGAGTGCAATGGCGCAATCTCGGCTCACCGCAACCTCCGCCTCCTGGGTTCAGGCAATTCTCCTGCCTCAGCCTCCTGAGTAGCTGGGATTACAGGCACATGCCACCATGCCCAACTGATTTTTTGTATTTTTAGTAGAGACGGGGTTTCACCATGTTGACCAGGATGGTCTCGATCTCTTGACCTCGTGATCCACCCGCCTCGGCCTCCCAAAGTGCTGGGATTACAGGCGTGAGCCACCGCGCCCGGCTTTATCTAGAACTTTCTATTTGACCAGAACGGTGTCTCAAAAGGAAACTGTCAGAAACATCCGTTTAGATGCCACCGGCTCTGCTGGTGCTGAAGGCCAGGAGTGTGGCGAGCAGATGGGACCCCCGCCCCGGGGCCTGTGTGGCCTCTCACCTATGTACTGCTGGTGGTGCTGGCTCTGTGCGGCCATGGTCTGTTCCGGGGTGCTGTGCAGGCCGCTGTGGGAGCCGCTGTCCCCAAGGCTGTCCGTCTTCTGAGCTGGCCGGTACCTGGGATGGAGGACACACATGCCACCATGAGGGCCAGCAGCCCTGCCGGAGGTGGACCCACAGAGCGGGCGGCTGGGCAGGATTCAGTCGGGGGTGTGTGTATGATGTTTACAAGTTGCGGTCAAATACACACAACACAAAAGTGACCATCAGAGCCGTTTTTAGCACACAGCTCGGCAGCGTTAAGCACGTTCATGTGGCTGTGCCACTGTCACCATCATCACCTCCAGAACTTGCTCATCTTCCCACACACACACTCTGTCTCCATGACACACTCACTCCCCATCCCTGTCCCCAGCCCCTGGCACCCCCATCTGACTTCCTATCTCTGTGAATTGGACGACTCTAGGGACCTCCTGGGAGTGGGATCACATGGGAATTGTCCGTGTGCGCCTGGCTTCTCTCACTGAGCTTAATGTCCTCAAGGTCCACCAAGGTGTAGCCTGTGTTGGAATTTCCTCCTTTCTAAGGCCGAATAATATTCCATCACATGGATGAGGCACACTTTGTTAACGGACACTTGAGAAAACAGATAGATGTATTCACCCTGCAACATTTCTCTTAGAAAAAATGTGAAATTCTTTGCATGAATCACAAACATCGTCGGTCCAGTCTCAAGAGTTCTGAGGCTTTCGCAGAGGAAAGCTTTGCAGATGGCTGGCTCCTCAGAGCCGAGTGTGTGCTGTGGTGGAGGCAGGGGCGAGCTGGCCTGACGCGAAGCACCTCCGGGGGGCATCCCTTATCAAACACAAAGCGGGGCCGAGCCTGCGGGAGGTGGGAGAGCATGCCGGCGAGCTGTGTGTAAAGCAGCCGACTCAGGGCAGGCCGTGCGCATCGCGCAGACAGGCTCAGGCTGCGGCTTCCAAATGCAGATGGCCTCAGTCTGTCCCCCTGAACCCTGCCTGCAGCACCGTTCACAGGCATTTGCAGGGGTCCAAAGTGAGCAACGGCAGCAATGGCTGCAGACAACTAGGTACAGAAGGAACGTTCCGAAAACTCTCTCCTGGGACCTCCAACTCCTGGGAGTGGCTGTGTGGTCAGGAGGCACTCGAATGGGTTTTTGAGCCACATACTTTCATGGGTGACTCTGTGCAGAGGGCTGGGTGCAAGGTGTGAAGGTGCCACATGAGGCTATTGGGATGTGGCCCCTGCCCTCAGTGTGGGCACTCGTGAGGGTGGGCGCCTGGAGGTGCTCTAGGAGGCAGCGATATCTGAATGGGTCCTAAACCAGGGGCCAGCAAACTATGGCCTGAGGGCCAATTCTGTTGCTTGTTTTTATAAATAAAGTTTTATTGGCACACAGCCACACTGGTGCATCATTTTCGTGCTGTTTGTGGCTGCTTTCAGGATGCAGCTGAATTGAACAGTCACGACAGGGACTGCCTGGCCTGCAAGGCTACGATATTTGCTCTCTGGCTCTTTACGGGAAAGATTTGCTGATCCCTGCCTTAGAAGATGAGGAAGTTTGTGATGGAGAAGAGGATATTCCAGAAAATGACCAGGGCTTTCCAGCCACTGGATCCAAAGGTCAAGAAGTTGTGACTTGGCCAGGCGCAGTGGCTCAAGCCTGTAACCCCAGCACTTTGGGAGGCCGAGGCGGGTGGATCACGAGGTCAAGAGATCGAGACCATCCTGGTCAACATGGTGAAACCCCGTCTCTGCTAAAAATACAAAAAATTAGCTGGGCATGGTGGTGCGTGCCTGTAATCCCAGCTACTCGGGAGGCTGAGGCAGGAGAATTGCCTGAACCCAGGAGGCGGAGGTTGCGGTGAGCCGAGATCGCGCCATTGCACTCCAGCCTGGGTAACAAGAGCGAAACTCCGTCTCAAAAAAAAAGAAGTTGTGACTTGAGTACACCTGCTATTTTCTCCGGGCTTCTTGGGTTATTTGCAGTGTTCTTTCTCTTTGCTTCCTAAGCTTTAAAAATTAAAGGTCTGTGATTCCCACTGCATGGCCCTGGGTAAGGGGGATGGTATGGGGATGGCACAAGGGTTGGTGGTTGGGACAGAGTAACTGAAAAAAAAAGGGAAAGCTGCGTAGGCAGAACATGGAGGCTTTACGGCTGTGAAAGGGCTCTGTGTGACACTGTGATGGGGGACACGCGTCATTATACATTTGTCCAAACTGGACAATGTACAACACCAGGAGTGAGTCCTGGTGTTGACTGTGGACTCTGGGAGAGGGTGATAGCCCCGGGGAGGGTCATCAGTCGCAACCCACGCACTGCTCTGTCGGGGAGGCTCATGGCGGGAGAGGCTGTGGGGAGCGGGGCCGGGGGAGAAGACGAACTCTCTGTACCTTCTACTCAATTTTGCTGTGAACCTGGAGTGGCTCTAAAAAATAACGTCTGTTACAAAGCACGACAGCTCTGAAAACGGTGAGCTGGAGGAGGTTGCGTCCCAGCCTCCCGTGTCTCCTGCTGGACTCACCTCATTCTCAGCAGAAGGGGATACCTTGGCTTTTCCAGGATGCTGGAGACTACAGAGTTATTGTGAGTTCGTTTCATGTTGGAGGAACACCTCTCCCTCCATGCTCCACGGGAAAGTGAGCCCTGCCCCCAACCCCACCCCACCTGGGCACCCACCTGGGCTTCTGGTGCATGGGCTGCTGCCGCATGGCCATGTACTGCGTGTCCTCCTGCAGCCGGTTCAGTGGGGAGTCTGGCTTCAGACGAATCCCATAGTAATGGTACTTGGAGTTGCCCCTGGAAACCAAACATCCCAGGGTCAGCTCCCTTTGCAGATGTCCTGAACAACGAGATAGGTGGGGACTCTTTTTTTTTCTTCTTTTTTTTTTTGAGATAATCTCATTCTGTCACCCAGGCTGGAGTGCAGCGGTGCGATCTCAGCTCACTGCAATCTCTGCCTCCCGGGTTTAAGAGATTGTCCTGCCTCAGCCTCCCGAGCAGCTGGGATTACAGGCATGGACCATAACGCCTAGCTAATTTTTGTATTTTTAGTGGAGATAGGGTTTCGTCATGTTGGGCAGACTGGTCTTACTTGAACTCCTGGGCTCAAGTAATCCTCCCGCCTTGGCCTCCCAAAGTGCTGGGATTACAGGAGTGAGCCACCGTACTCAGCCTCCTACATGACGAAACCCTATCTCCTTTTAGAAGCAGGGTCTTGCTCTGTCACCCAGGCCTGGAGTGCAGTGGCGCCATCACCGCTCACTGTAGCCTGGACCTCCCGGGCTCAAATGATCCTCCTGCCTCAGCCTCCGAGTAGCTGGGACTGCTGGCGTGTGCCAACACACTTGGCTGGGAAGCACTCTTTCTTGGCCTTTCACTTCGGCCTCTCTGGTTCAGCATTTCCTGAACTGCGTGAGAAACGTGATGAAGGAATTCTGCACGTAACGCCATGTCATGCAGAGCCCCTGTCGCAGGTTAGGGTAATGAAGGCTCGGACAAGCCCTGTGCTGAGAACACCAGGTCAGCTTTGCGGCGCTCCCGTGGCTCGGTCTCCATTATTATCATTACCGACTCTTCCCCATCCCTTCCCATCATCTAGTAACACGTTTTGGAGACAGGCACAGTATGGGAACCATTACATTAGTTTACTACGGGAGAATGATGATCAGTGGGCTTTAAACAATTCAGTTCAGCAAACGGCTTGCAGAGACCTTTCAGGAGAGAAGCAATAATCCACAGACAGGGCTGTGCAGACACCCAGCTCACAGGACACCATTTCTCCAGAGCTGGCAACAGGGATGTGCAGAAGGCACCTGGCTGCTTTCTTTTTAGTTCTTCTTTTTTTTTTTTTTTTTAGAAGGAGTTTCGCTCGTTACCCAGGCTGGAGTGCAATGGCGCGGCCTCGGCTCACCACAACCTCCGCCTCCTGGGTTCAAGCAATTCTCCTGCCTCAGCCTCCTGAGTAGCTGGGATTACAGGCACGTGCCACCATGCCCAGCTAATGTTTTGTATTTTTAGTAGAGACGGGGTTTCACCATGTCGACCAGGATGGTCTTGATCTCTTGACCTTGTGATCCACCTGCCTCGGCCTCCCAAAGTGCTGGGATTACAGGCTTGAGCCACCGTGCCCGGCCTTTTTAATTCTTCTTTTATTAAAAAAAATTTTTTTTGAGATGGAGTCTCACTCTGTTGCCCAGGCTGGAGTATGGTGGTGTGATCTCGGCTCACTGCAACCTCCTACTCCTGGGTTCAAGAAATTTCCCTGCCTTAGCCTCCCCGAGTAGCTGGGGTTACAGATGCATAGCACCACACCCAGATAATTTTTTTGTATTTTTAGTAGAGGTGGGTTTTCACCATGTTGGCCAGGCTGGTCTCAAACTCCTGACCTCGGGATCCACCCACCTAGGCCTCCCAAAGCGCTGGGATTACAGGCCTGAGCCACTGCGCCTGGCCTCTTTTCCTTTTTAAATTTCATTGCAATAGCAGACAGCCTGGGCCCTTTCTAGATGAGGTCCATGTTTAGCCAGGTGCTCAGAGGAGGGAAAACGGGGCAGGGAGCAGGGGGCAGGTTGGGGGGAGAATCAGCCTTAATCCTCAAGCCAGCGTCTGGTATACTCTGCAGGGGCGGTCCCTCCGAGAGCAGGGGCTGTGTCCCTAGAGACCAGGCTTCCCCGTTGCTTCCACTTCTTTCCCTCCTCTATGTGTCTATGATCCCTAAGGACATTCTCTGTAAAGGATCACAAAGTGTCAGAGGACAAGGGACTGTGGTCCTTGTGGACCCACCACCATGCTGTTTACAGACAGCCAGGACACAGGCTCTGAGAGTGCATGAGTTAGCCCTAACCCCACACAGGCAGATTTGGGTTGGAGATGCTGCTGTGTTTTTCTGTCAGAGGAGAGTTTGCATTATTTCCTGCCATAAGTCTATGGCCTGTGATGCCCTGGGGCTGCCATAGACCAAGGGAAGGCGGGGTGGATTGGTCCAGCGGGCACGGTGGCTCACACCTGTAATCACAGAACTTGGGGACGCTGAGACGGGCAGACCACTGGAGGCCAAGAGTTTGAGACCAGCCAAGGCCACCAAGAATTTGAGATGGTCAAAACTCCATCTCTCCAAAAATATGAAAATTAGTCAGATGCGGTGGCGGGCACCTGTAATCCCAGCTACTTGGGAGGCTGAGGCAAGAGAATCGC